CTGAGGTGGGAGATTGCCACAAATTTGAGGACAGCCTGGGCTACATAGTAAGTTCCAGGTCAGCCTGGCCTAGACAAAGCAAACACTTTCTGTCACATCCTAGACAATATAGAGATCCTATTACACATTAAGTACTGTATCCTTCCAATTCCTTGATACTTCTTTACAGTTTAAACCTTATAACACCTAATTATAAATTTGTTTAAATAAATGTTGTATTACTATTTTACTGATATGTTATACTAGTTACTTTATTTTGTCTTATAGTTCCACGTGGTACAGTCTTGTCATGGCAGGAGCTGGTCACATTGCATCCAAGAAGCAAAGAGTGATGAATGTTAGTGCTCAGCTCACTTCCTCCTTTTTCTTCAGTCCAGGATCCTAGACCATGGAATTGTGCCCCCGCATGGTTAGGGTTGGTCTTCCCACCTCATTTATCCTAGTATCTTGAGAAGCCCTCATAGCCGTGGTTAGAGTTTGATGTCCTTGGTGACTCTAGAACCTGTCAAGTTGACAATATTAATCATCATAGTTATTTACTGTATTTCACTTAAAATATATATACATTCATTTGCACATTTACTGTGTACTTTGCCCTTTGTTTCATCCTGGTTTTATCGGGATCATTTATTCTGTCAAAAAGAACTTTTTTCTTCTATGTGTTTTTACATGAATATACTAGTTACAGATTATTTCAGATTTATCATTCATATACTTTGTATTTGAAAGAGTATTTTTGCTACATTAGCAGGCTTTATTTTTTGTTTTAGAAATGTCTAGTTGTTCTGTTTCAAACACTACTCTTGTTCCATTTTCTCCTTTGTGGCATTATACTTGGACGCATTAGACCTTTTCACTCTGGCCCCTTCATGGCTATTTTCCTTCAGTATTTTCTGTCCTTTTGTATGATCAATCTGTGTATTTTCTTAATTTGGTTTTTAACATGCTGATAACTGTTTATTTGAATTTCTCAGTTTGGGAATTTTATATGACTATTTATTTTGACCCTGAAGTTCTGTTTTATAACTCAGGCTGGTGTGGAACTTGCAGTCTTCCTCTGCCTCCTAAGAACGGGGACTCCAGGCCTCTGCCACTATGCCTACTCACTATGCCTAGCTTCACTTTTTATGAATTTTAGTTTTCTTCTGAAAATTTTAGCCTTTTTAATACTTAAGCATATTAGGCATAATTAATTTCTTTCCACTCATTTTTATTAGCATATTTGCATATATACACATTATATAAGCACATATTTTATGTGTGTATATGGTCTGTGTGTGGTCTTAGTACATGTATGTATGGGCGTTTTCATTGTGTGAACACACATATGTGCAGTCACCACCAGCGGGTGGCCGCTCCTCCGTTCTCACGGGCACCGCTTCTTCATTCTCACAGGCGTCAAGGCTGCTCCTCTGCTCGCCCTGGGCTGAGGCTGGTCTTCTGCCTGGCTGGTGCCATCTTCTGTCATCATTGCTTCTGCCTGGTCCCGGACCCCAGGGCTGGTGAGGAGACTGTGTCAGCGGAGCCGCATTCAGACACAGGAGACTAGGTTCAGTGACACAGATCTGGTTTATTGCAGGAAGGCACAAGCTTATATAGGGGTAGTGGTCCAGTCACAGCACAGCAAGTAGGATACCTTATTAGCATAATAGGTTTAGCATCCTATCACAGTGCAACAAGTAGGTTACCTTATTAGCATCATCCTTTTAGGATAACAGACTTAACGTCCTATCACAGAATAGCGGGTAGGATGCCTCATTAGCATACTGGGTTTCAGATTACAGAGCCCAGTGGTTGGGCTGTTGCCTCAGGCCTGCTGTATGGCTGTCAATAAGACTTTCACCTTAGGCTCAAGCCTGTCTCCCACACATATGTAAGTGTAAATGGAGGCCAGAGGTTGACTTCTGGCATCTTCCTCCACAGTCTACTGAGACAGGGTCTCCTGTTGAACATAGAACTCTGCTGATTTGTCTGGTCTCACAAGCTAGTTTGCCTGGGGAGCCCATCTCACGCCTCCCAGGGGATTACAGCCTCCTAGGTTTTGATGTGGGTGCTGGGGATCCCAACTCCAGTCTTCATGCTTGTGCAGCAAGTACTTTATCCACTGAGCTATCTCCCTATCCCCTCTTAGTGTATATTAATTGTTAAAAGATATTAAGTTTTATTCTGACATCTTTGTAACATTTAAATATACTTTGATCATACTTACCTCTCATTTTCCTCTTTTGTTCCACCTTGGCCTCCCACTGATCCCCACTGATCCCCTTTTCCCAAATAGTTTTACTTTAATAAAGCTTTGTTTTTACATATAGAGTCTGCATATGAGAGAAAATGTAGTTATCTTTCTGAGTTTGACTTCGCTTAGCATGGTGATCTCCAATTCTATCCATTTTCCTGTAGACGTCATAATTTAATATAAAATTTTTTAACATTTTTCATGTGTGTATGTATGTGTATATGTGCACATATGGCACACATATGGCACACATGGTCAGAGGAACATCTTGTTGGAATCAGTTCTTTTTTTCCATCATGTATGTTTCAGGGATTGAACTCATGTTGTCTGGCTTGGTGGCAAGCATATTTTTTTAAGAATATTTTTATTATTCCAAAGAGAGGAAATTTTTAACTCATTTTCCCAGAAATAACTTGAAGCAGGTTACATAAAAATGTATATACAATGAAGTTTAAGGGTGGAAAAGTAGGGCTATGAAATCAAAGACTAAAGCCAGGTGTGGTGGCAAATGTCCTCAGGCCCAGCAGATCTCAGTGAGTTTGAGGCCAGCTGGTCCACTCAGTGAGCTCCAGGCCAGTTGGGGTCACAGGGAGACCCTGTCCCAAAAATAATGAAAGAAAAAATAAAAAGAAAAGAAAAAAGTCAAAGACTAAAAGATTTGGTAGCAAGCATCTTTACCCACTGAGCCATCTCATCTGCCCCGTAATTTCATTTATGACTGAAGACAGCTCCACTGTTTATATTATGCTACATTTTCTTTATTCATCTTTGATGGGCACCTGGGCTGGCTCCATTGTCTTGGCTAATGTGAATATTGCTGCAATAAACATGGATATACAAATATCTCTGTGGTATGCTGACTTAGAATACTTTGCATGTATACCCAGAAGTTTGGTATACTTGGATCATGTGGTCATTTTTTCTTTTTTCTTTTTAGTTTTTTGAGGAACGTCTATACTGATTTCTGTAGTAGCTGTACTAATTTACATTCCCACTAACAGTAAATAAGGATTCCTGCCCCTTGCCAGCATTTGCATTTCCCTAATGGCTAAATATTAACAATGTTCATAAATTTATTGGCCATTTGTGTTTGAGAATTGTCTCATCAATTCTTTTGATATTTAATTTTTTTGTTCTGCATATGTTCTGAATAGTAATTCCCAGTCAGATGAATGGTTGGCAGAGATTTCCTCTCATCCTGTGGGCCCTCACTTCTTCCTCTTGTTTGTTGCCTTTGTTTTTAGTTTGTTGGACTCTTAATTTTTCAGTTCTCACCATTATGTACTGCGCTATTAGAGTCATATTCAGAATGTCATTTCCTATTCTAATATCTTGAAGTACTTTCTCTGTTTTCCTCTGTAGTTTGGACATTTCAGATACTTAAGTGTTGATTCATTTTAAAATGATTTTCTATAGGGTGGAAAATCGAAGTCTAGTTTCACCTTTTACGATGCAGATTTCCAGTTTCTCATCACCATTTGCTAAAGAAGTTGTCTTTCTCTGTCATATGTTACTAGCATCTCTGTTAAGAATGAGATTTATTTCTGAGTTAATTCTTTTCCTTTGTAGTTTTTATGCCGATATCAAGATAAAGTTATTTTAATATTCAGTTTTGAAATTATTATCTAAATATCATAGAGATCTGTTTCTGTTGACTGCTGCTTCTGTCGATTTTAGGTGATCTTTTTTTATTTTTCATATTACCAGTTATTTTTGAGTAAATGTCAGATATTGAATATGAAGAATTGCTGAGAGTTTGAAGTCTAGCATGATGTTTCTTTACTCAGAGAGGATTTATTTTGGTATTACAGAGGTACCAAAGGACTGAGATTCCTTAGATTGCATTAGTCCAACAGTAATTAAGATGGTTTCCAAGTTCACTTAAATTGTTAGTCTACTATGGGTTAAGTTTCACCAGTTCATCCTGGTCACCAGTAGCTCCCCATCTCTTAGTTCTTGAAAATTTTCTTGTCATCTTCCCTTGTTTCTCATGTCCCTTTTGAGAATTGACCAACCCTTACAGGGACAAAGGTACTTTTCAAAGAGTACTATATCTCTTTGGATTTTCAGCTTGTCCCAGATCAAGACCTTATAATTTGTTATGATCTTGACTGTTGTCAATACTTTCAGGCAGATGCTTTTGACTTTTAATGTTTAAAACCAATGTTGATTAATATTACCTAGTTCATCATATGGTAATAGGTTACTGTGATATTTTTCTATTGAATTATCTTCAAAGTGTTATTTAAAAATCTCTACAATGTTTTTGGAAATCATCAAACATTTTTTACCTGTGTATATTTTTATGTAGTTTCTTAGCATGGAGTTAGATATACATTCTTGATGGAAAGGTTTAAGACATACAAAGAAATAAGAGCTAAAATGGAAGTTCATAGTGGAACTATAAATGGTTATATTAGGTTTCAGGTTTTTTAGCTTAGTATTATTTTGGTCATCTATTTCTTCTTAAGGCAGGAAGGAAATGATAATTTATATGTAAATCACTATGCCTATAGAATATTTAAATTTCCTAAATTTGCTTAGATTCTTTGGTTCTACCTTTCTGAAATTATGCAATCTCATTTTGAAAATCCTTTCTTTATCTTAATAGGGTAGTATTTGCCACTTGTCTGTTTTTCTCTAAAGTTTATTTTCCAAATTACTGATCAAAACATTTTAAAGTTATCAAGGATTCCATGCACTTCCAAGATAGGCCTAACATCAATCTAAAGACTCAATTCTTTTCTGTCTTCACTGCTTACAGATAGGGAACACAGTCTCTTCAGCCTGGACCTGTGTAGAAGAATTTGGAGGAAATAAGCAGGTAAGAAAACATCTTTTAGGAATTTTGTGGTATACTTTCTTTTCAGAAAGCAGTTCTAGGTTAACCCTGTGACTATAGGAGGTGTTTAGAACTGTCGAATAAAAACACTGGGCACTGTTTTGTTTATAGTAGCTTTGCTAGATATACCCATTAAGCAAAATTTTTAAAGTTAAATGGTTTCCATATTTCAGGTCCTTTCAGAACTTTGAGCATGATAATGTACATTGAACCACTGAGATGGAAAACAGTAGTATATAAGTCAGGTATACTTAGAGTGAATGCTGTCTTTCAGTTACCCAGTATTTCTCAAACTTACCTAGAATAAGAATCAATTTTTCCTACCTTAGTAAACCAATATATTTTTTGAACTCAATTTTGTGTTCTCATGAGAGTACTAAGAAAGATAACTTTCAGAGAAATTAAAAGGTAGTTTATGATTTGAGTGAAGGTTATTACAAGCTCTTTTTTATATGTAAAAACAAAGACAGTGCTATGGTTTCTGGGGATCAATCCATATATAACCCAGTGTTCTTGGGTAGGTTACTTTACCATTTTGTGTCTTGATTTCCACAATATCAAAGGGAATAATATGAGTACTTGCAAAACTGTCAGGGTTTCAGTTGTAACTGATCTTATATGGTTATTTGTGGCATGTACTAAGTATTCAAGAAACATGACCTATTATTAATATAATACATTCTTTAGATAAAAAGAGGAATATGGTGGCGAATGCTTTTAATTTCAGCACTTGGGAGGCAGAGGCCAGCCTGGTCTACATAGCGAGTTCCAGGCCAGCTGGGGCTACAAGGGAGTCCCTGTCTCGGGGGCAGGGAGAGAGAGAGAGAGAGGGAGAGGGAGAGGGAGAGGAATAGGCTTATTATTCTTGACACTTAACAGACTTTAAACTTATACTTGAAGATCTTAGCAAATTTGTAGGTCCAAATCTTAAATCTTAGAATAAAACTAGAAATATGTGGTACCAGTTTGGGAACTAGCTTCTAACTAGCTTCTTTATGTCTTTAATAATTTAAAGTTTGAATTATGAGTTCAAACTTTATGGGGACTGATTTTTATTGACAGAAATGAAAGTTGAAAAGAGTTGCCATCTTTAAGCCTAAGCCTTTCTCTTCACTGTGGCCCAGGTAGTTTATCTAGTGCTACACTTTTTGACCTGTTCTGAAGCCTAGAGTGTTACAACTCTAGCTGTAAGTTTTGCTCTGAGAAACTACTATCCTATTGCTCTTTCTCAGATGGTTAGAAACTAGCATTAAGAGGAGTCTGTTATAATTATATCAGCATAAAGTGGGCAAATTGGGAGCTCTAGATAGGGTTTGTTTGGTCTCTTTACTTTAGAAGGAAAACAATTGGACTAATTTCAGTTAGAGTCACTTTATATTTGGTCCTTCTTCATTCTTTAGTTTGTGTGTTCAGTCTTGGTCCTAAAGGCATGTGTTTGTAACTGTTGATTTTACATACTAGGTGATGTTTTTTCTATTTTGTTGTCAGTGTTTGGTTTCCTATTATGTCATTAAAATTGTCAAATTGATTTGCAAAGGTGTTCCCTGAAGAAACTATTTCTACATCAAACACATTTTGGGGAAAACTTTGTACTGCATGCTCTTGATTTTTTTAACGTAACATGCACATATATATATGCATGTTATGTTAAAAAAATCAAGGAAGCAACTTGTCAGATTTTCTTCTAACTTTTCTAAACCTTTCCCACAATGACTGCTAAGGGATTCCTGTAGACATGCTTGCGCTTGAATCATCTGGGATATCGTTTGGGAAACACTGAAACTAACCCAAAGAATTTTATTTGTGTGTTTATAACTTGGTTGAGGGCTAATTAAAACATATTTAAATGCACCTAATTAAATTGCACCCTTAATCTATTTTGATTTATGTGTATATCTGAAGTGATATCATAGTCAAGAAAACAAACATTCCAGTCACCCCTAAAAGTGACATTGTGCTCTTGTGTAATCTCTTCTTCTTTCTGCTTTCTTTCTCAGACTTGAGTTGCATCTTTCTAGAATTTCACTCTTAGCTTGGTGTGGTTGCTCATACCTGTAATCCCAATACTTGGGAGGCTCAGGCAGGAGGATTCAGAGTTCAGTTGTTCAGTGTCAGACTTGGCTACATAGCAGAGTTGAGAGCTTAGCTCAATAAACTGAAACAGGCCAGCAAGGTGTCTTGACGGTAAAGGCACTTGCTGACAAGACCAGCAAACTTAAGTTTGATCCTCAGAACCCACATGGTGGGAGGAGAGAACTGATTGTTGTACACATTGTCCTCTGATCCCCCCATGCACTCTGTGACACAACACAACACAACACACACACAACTCTCTCTCTCTCTCTCTCTCTCTCTCTCTCTCTCTCAACAAAATGGTTCTTTAAATAAAATTGCAACTTTTTTAGCACATTAAGTGAGGAAATGAGGAGTCCCATGCACTGTATAGAGGCTGTGGAAATAAAGAGGTACAGGTCAAATACAGGTATCTTAGAGAGAAGCACCATTGACCGGTTTTCTGTTCTTTAGCCCGTAGTTTAACTTTTGAGATGCTTTCTGTCAAATATCCTGCTCAAGAAGATTGTTCCAAAAGGCTGGTCAAGTGGAAATGATACCCTCCTAAGAACCAAGAGACCTAATTATTGACTTATTCTTTTTCCACTTAGCTGTGGAAATACAGGTCTGCTTTACCCAAATCAGTGGTCTTGTGTCTTTGTCATTTATATGAATGAGGTCATTTGAATTAAAGACTTGTAAAGTTTCAGCCTATTCCCAGTTTTTGATTTGAAATTACAGAATTTGATTAGTCAAAAATTTTATTAGTATTATAAAATGACAAAACCCAGTACAAATAGCAAAAGGGGGGCTGGAGAGATGACTCAGCAGTTAAGAGTACTGACTGCTCTTGCAGAGGACCTGGGTTCAGTTCCCAGCACCTACATGGTGGCTAACAACTGCCAGTAACTGCAGTTCCAGGGAATCCAATGTCTTTTTCTGACCTCTGTGGATGTTGCATGACACGGGTGCACTTATATACAGGCAATACACAAATACACATTAAAAATAAAAACAAGGGGCTGGAGAGATGGCTCAGCAGTTAAGAACACTCGTTATTCTTGCAGAAGACCGGGGTTCGAATCCCAGCACCCATGTGGCAGGTAACAACAAGTCCAGTCCCAGGGGATCTGACAGCCTCCTCTGGCCTCTGTGGCATTGCATGACACAGGTGCACATGCCTAAATGCAGGCAATACATGCATACACATAAAATAAAAATAATAATTTTTTTAAAAAGTTAAAACATAGCAAAAAGGCTTGAAAACATCTGAATGAAGATGTTTATAAATAATGACCACATTATTAGTCATAAGGAAATCAAAATTAAAACCATAGTGAAATATATTTTCACTTCATATATTGATATAACTGATTTAAAGTATGGTGTGGTGGTGCATCCCTGTAATCCCAAAGCTTTGGAGGCAGAAACAGTATAGGCTTGAGGCCATTCTGGTCTAGGTCTATGAAAAGTAAATTCCAGGCCAATCAGGGCCACAGAGTAAGTTTTAGGCTTAAAAAATCCTGCAATACCAACTGTTGCTGAAGATGTGGCACCCAAATAGAGATCTCATATTTTAGTGTTGTGAGTATGAAGTGGTTGCAGTGAAGAACTCTAAAACATAATGTCTCTACCCTGTTCCTCAGCACACCCACTTCCAGGTATTTACCCTAAAGAGAAAACATCACAAACGGTTTATAGAAGAATCATCATAGCAGCATATTCATGAACATAAAGTTATAAGCAGCTTATCTATTAATCAGCAGGTGAATGCATAAAACTTGTGGTATATTCATTCAGTGGAATAATACTCAACAATAAAAGGGAAGAAATTGCCAAAATGTATAACATGAGGGGCCGGAGAGATGGTTCAGTGGTTAAGAACACTGGTTGTTCTTGCAGAAGACATGGGCTTGAATTCCAGCACCCACATGGCAGCTAACAACTGTCCGTAACTCCAGTTCTAGGGGATCCGACAGCCTCTTCTATCCGTGGGCATTGAATGACAAGGTGCACTTACCTACGTGCAGGCAATACGTGCATACACATAAAAAGAATAAAATATTAAAAAGAAAAAATGTATATAACATGAATGAATCTTAGGAATTACACTGAACCAAAGAAGCTAGACATAAAAAAAATACTAAAAAGCAACAAAATATAAAAACAGGTGGAAATTAACCCATGGTGATAGAAATCAGAAAGTGATCTCTAGCAGAAGGGCTACTAACAGAAAAGAGGCCCAAACTCATTGAAATGAACACATAGGGTATGTGCCTCTTACTGTAAGTTGTGCTGCAATTTTAAGTATTAAGACAGCTGAATAACATGAAGTATAAAATTTAAATTCTGAAATTAGCCCTGTATTATTTAGTAAGAAGGAGAAAGAGGGGTACAGATCGGTCTGGGGCAGAAACAGTGGGATTGAAGAATTGAGGATGGATTTTAAGAGGATAATCTGGGGCTGAGGGAACAAGTGTGTATATGCTAGGAATTTTAACTCATTTCTTAATTTTTTTCTTAAACATTAACAAAAATTTAATCTTTTTTCTATGCTATGTAAATTATATCTAAGGAAAATGTTTCTACTCCTTAGTTTATTCCATTAGTTATATATTTTCAGTTTACAGTCCATTCATTATCTTTTTCGACATGTATTCTATTTTCTAGTCACTCAGATATTTTTCTGAATATACTTAGGTTCTTAGTGGCTTTAAGAATAGGATTTCTGAAATGCTTGTAAAATCTTTATACCTGAAGTCTGGCCTCATTTTTGTAGTTATTTTGAAGATTCTAAAAATTTATCCTATGCAAATAATTATCTGAGTCAACTTTTTAATTTAGTTTAATTAATTTAATTTAGCACTTAATTTAGTTTTCTTAAAAATAAGAATACAGCAAGTGGCCCATGTTCATTTAAAGCATTATAGTAGAGGACTGTCATAAATGCTAATGAGCATGGTGCTTATAGCCAGCTCTCCACCTTGTTTTTAAATCTCCCCTGAGGATGTCTTTTGAATCCATATTTTGTGAATAGGCAGCATTAGCGCTTGAATAAAAACAAGCGATTTTTCTTTGAAAACTGCATTCTCTATCTGCAGAAGTCACTTTTAAATTATGTTGTTGATGAACATACTGGTAAAATGTAAAGATCTAGGTGTCCTCGTGGTACCTGACTAGTAAGGGACTTAAATATATTTGCATAATAATCTCCAAGAGGAAAAAATTGGAACTTTTTTTTTGGTCTTTTTGAGACATCATCTCCCTGTAGCTCCTGCTGACCTGGAACTCACTATGTAGACCAGATTGGCCTTGAACTCACAGAGCTCCTCCTGCCTCTGCCTCCTGAGTGCTGGGACTAAAGGCATGCACCTTTTGTGTTTTACCATTCATTCTTATAATAGTATTTTGCAACTTCCAAAGTAAGGTAATTATGAAATATCATGATTCCTATATGACCCCCTATTTGACCTCCTGGTTTTATAAGCTATTTTTCCCAAATAGAGTAATTAGAATAAAGCTAACATTGATTTAAAACTTACTATTTGCCCTACTCCCAACATTTCAGTGACTCAATTTTATGTGAGGACTACAGACCAAGATCTAAAGCCATATCTGCCCTGGAGCCAGTCTTCACCTGTCCACACCCCAGACAGAGGTCTGAGCCCATGAGCCTCCAGTCCCCCAAGGATGACCTTGCTCACCCTGGGTGGGAAGCAGCTGGGAGCCTTGTTCCTGAGACAGAACCCAGATCATTTCTATTTCATTGAAAGGCCAACTCCCTTATGAGGAATCAACCTCCACCCAGCCTGACAGCTTAAAACACATTTCTAGAAAGCCTCAAAAATGCCCTGGGTTAGAAACATTTGTTACAGTTCCAAGTACATTTGTTCTGTATTTAATGAGTGAATTACTGTTTCTTTAACCAAGGTACTAATTGCTGCAGAAACTAAAGGAATCAGGGCGCTTTTGGTCCAGGAACAGAAACATTGGAAGTACTTTGAACTCTTTTTTTTTTTCTTTGATATATTTATTTGTATGAGGCTTTTGGATACTCATAACTTCCCCCCCTCCTCTGAAGAGGTGACCCTAAAATCTTTTAAGGATTAGATACAAGCTCCAAAATACTTTCAACATTTTTGACCTTTGGAACAGTATGTTGCTAACAGGCCCAAGGACATTTTGACTTTTAGCCAAGAAACTGGCTACTTTTCTTTGGGGTCTTTTTACCCTAACTGCCTAGCCAGTTCCTGTCTCCTATTCTTATCACACCATCCTCTGAAGAAGTCATGCAAATTGCCAGTAGGGAATAGGGACGCAGACTGCTCTGGCTTCTTTCATGCTGAACAGGGACTCAGAGTGAGGCAATTGGAGTACCCCCTCAGTGGGTCTATCTAAAAGACTACCAAAACTTTTATCTCTAAGGGGAGAAGAAAGTCCTTGAATTGTGAATAAGAGATGTAGAAGAAGTAAAGGCAAGAGTAATTAGCATTACAAGTTCTAGACAGGGAACTAGAAAAAAGTCAGAACAGAGCAATTTTCAAATGTTCATATGAGTACATTGGAAATTCTTGACATGGGCTTCCAAAATCATCCCTCTATTGGGTTTCTCCTTATTTTTCTTTTGTCTTCCAAGGGTGGACTCTAGAGTGGTGGATTCAGGATTTGCTTGCAGGTATTTTGATAGCTGTTGGAGTGGTTAGAATCAGTGTCCGTTCCCTCTCAAATGCTTCTAGATAGGGGGAGAAAACGAATTTATCCATCATTTTAGAACAATAGCCTGTTGCCTCCCTTAGCTACAGGTGGGCATTACAGTATTAGAGACCAAGATTTGAAATCTTACATCTGAGCAGCACTTTCTGATTCAGAACAAAAGCATCAATGAGAGATAACTGTCTAACTTTTTAAAAATTGTTGCTTGTTATGTAGCCTTTAGCTATGCATATGGACTCTTAAAAAATTATATTGGCCCCTTTAATCTTTGGTTATACTTTCCTTTTGACTGTTTAAGGCCATACAGTTGGTCCAGATAAACCAATTTATTTTTACTCTTAAGGTCCTTTGAGGATCTGTTCCTCATGGGTCACATGGGCTTGGGAGGAGCTCCTGGCTCCTTTCTTTTAACAGTTCCATCTATGCGAAGATAAGTCAAAGGTCCTGTTCGACCATTGTCTGGCTTCACTGGAAGCATGAATGAGATGTTTCCTCTGAGTTGACCCTCTTTTTGTAGGCTGGATGCTGGTTCAAGTCCATCTCATGGGGTCTTCATGTCCTCCCTGAACAAGAGAACAGGTGACTCACCACAGTTACAGGACATTTTGAGAGATGATCCATAGTCCCCTGAAACTTATTTGACCTTGGAGGGCAGGGGGCAAAAACTGTCCTTTAAGTCCCTCTAACCACATTAGTATAGGCCTCAAACTATGGCTGTTAGACATCTAATAAGGTTAGTTTCACCAGTCTGGTACTTTTAATTATCATGTGCTGTGTAGATAAGTCTTGGGTAAAAAACAAAGTATTCTCAGATAAACCTTGACTAGATAAATATTTTGTTCCTTAAACTAGTTGACTAAACTATGACCATAGAAATTTTAAGATTATGTCAGTAAAACATAAAACCACCAGTGGTTCAACTTATGCTCAATATTTTAACCCCCAGATGAAATAGATTCTTTAGAAGAAAAACATTCTGATGGTTGGCTGGAGTCATTCTACTTTGGGTGTTAGAAGAACAAATTATTTCAAATACTGAAAATACTTTGAATAGTATATTCTTAAATGTGTTTATATCTTCCTAAAACAAGCTGCTTTATTGATCTTGTGGTACCATTCATAAAAATTAAATAGGTTCAAAATTATTTTAATTAGAATTTTACAGTGCTAGAAATTAAGCCTATATACAACTGATTTTTATTTTTTCCATTTTTTTTCTTAACTAGGTCCTTTCTGGTGTTGCTTGAGCTTATTCTCCTGCAGTTGGTCTCATTCCTGTTGGTTAAACATTAAATCCCATGACAACATTAATTCTCATGTGTTATAGGCCTCATAGTGACTGTTATTATCAGGGGAAACCTTACCTGTACATTAAATGACCTTACTCCTTTTTTTCCATTCCTAGAAATACCATGACTTTTATAAATAACCATTTAATAGTCACTGTCACACTTTTGACATATACAGCAGTAAAGAACATAGTTGAGTTTTTGGAAAGCACAGGATCTACACATTTGGTCTTTAAAATACACACAAACAGAATTACTACAATTAATGAAGCAGGAAATCACTGGTGCATAAGATGAATGTTTATTTGAAATTAATATTTCAAATATAATTGTTTTAATTTGGTTAACTTTGGATATTTTTCTATACTATTAAGTTGATAATGGTTTTTGAAGTTTGATAGAGATGATTCATTTTACTGTTTTATCATACCAGTGGGACTCTAACGTTAAACTGATTTGTTAAGCTATATAAATGTTTGTATCCACATTTCAATAATGAAATATTGGACAGTTCATTTGCACCAAATGTTTTTGAAGCCCAGGGGTAATGTTTCTGCTAGTTTGATGCCTAATACCATTAAAAAAGAAAAAAAAATAGAAACTATGAATTTGCTTTTTTTTTTATCTTTTTGCCATGAATTACCCCATAGTGTCAGAACCAAATTTAAAAGAAGCTTCTTAGCCTGACATGGTTATACACTTTTAAATTCCAGCACTTGGGAGGCAGAGGCAGAGGAATACAGTTCAATGTGAGTTTGAGGACAGCCTGGTCCTACATAGCCAGTTCCAGGCCAGCTGGGGCTATAGGGAGACTGACTCTGTCTCCAAAAAAAAAAGTTTCTTTGTGGAGCAAGAGAAATCAAAGGTTCTCTTTTTTCTGTGTTAAAAAGAAAAAGATACCTAGAAATGCATTCTAGTTAGATCTTTGAAGCAGTGTATCAGCTAAAGAAACAATACTGACTTGATAGAATTCTTAAGTTTGCACCACAGTGATGATAGTCTTTACCATCAATATAGTATCACCAGGTATTTGAATGTTAGAACATTGTGTTAAAATGTGATTATAGTTTTAATGTTTTGTCTCTTTGAATTAAATTTTGTGTCCATAAAGATGTGCAGCATAATTGTTCATGTATTTATTTACAGACTACAATTTCCGTCGCAGCTCAATAAATAGTCTTTCCCCTGTTAGTGCAGCCCTCTCTTCTGGGACTCCCAGCGTGCTTCCTTATACTGCAAGGCCTTATTTTTATCCAAGCTATCTCTTGTCACCAGCACTATCACTTGCTAATGGCAGCCATGTTGGACAACGACTATATATCTCCAGTCAGGCCTCATTCTTCTGAAGAAAGTCTGTATATATTAGTATGAAAGTTTCTTTGTATAAGGCATGAAAATTAAAATATTGTTTTATTTTAGATTTGAGATTGCACATTTGGCTTTACAAACAGTGTATTTCAGCACATTAAACAGCTGTAATTCAGAATAATGGAGTGGTAGAATTTGGAAAACCGCAATTAAAAGTTTTATACACACACACACACACACACACACACACACACACACACACTATTCTTTTTAAACCTTTGGGGTTTTCTTCTATTTCCAAAGTTTGCAAAAGATCACAGTAGTTTCTGGGTGTTTTTTATGTAACAACCTTGCAAAATAGCATTTCACAACTATTAAACTATTTAAAGACAATGGTTGTACTAGATGAGATTTACCAAGGATCGCTATTTGTATTGGAGTTTTGAACAATTATATAACCGAAAGCATCTATTATGTAGAAAGAAATGATGAGACAAAAAGATTAAGATGCAAATTTTAGGCAGTAGTAAAGAAAAATCACTCTACCATTGTGGTCATTGAAAGGAACTAAATATTTTAGTTAATATTTGTTACAGAAATAAATTACAATTTTGCTGTTAATATATTTAAGGGTTTTATAGTGTTATGCTTCATTTATGTTTTTGATATTGTTTGAATAAGTGTTAATGTTTTTTAAATGTTGAAATCATGTGTTTAAGTTTTGTACTTGAAATTCTTCAACATTAAATATGTAATGCTTCTAATATTTGTGTTTTATTTTTATTGAAATGCACATAAAAATGTCTCACTCATTTTGAGAACAGTTTGCTAGGTCAACAGTTACAGTGTCTTGGGTTCAAAGTCTTCTTGAGATGAAAATCATGAAATAATTGTTAAAGAGAAAAGGGTTAGTTTTTTTAAAAAAAGTAAAAATTATTTTTAGAAACATATTGTTGATAGACTCAGAAATTTCCCTTTTACTTGAGAATAATTAATGAGAGACTGGACAAGTGAACTCAGTTGCTAGAGCTGGTACTGCTCTTGTAGAAGATTTGAGTTGGGTTCCCATCACCCACCAACAGCTCCAGGGGATCAGACTCCCCTGGACTTCAAAGATATAGGAACTTAGGTGCACACATACATAATTCAAAATAATAAAAATATATTTAAAAATAATGAATTTGGGTCTTGACTTTCATAATTCATATCATCATACATATTCCATATTGTTGTTTAACTTACCCTACAGTTGTAGAGACAGAATTTGCATACATAGAATTTAAATTGATTGTAAATAATTTTTCAATCAATTTGATTTTTGAGTTAGAAGAATACTCAGCGGTTTTTGGTTTTGGGTTTTTTTTTTTTTTTTTGTCTTTTTGAGACAAGTCTCCCTGTAGCCACAGCTGGCCTGGAACTCACTATGTAGACCAGGCTGGCTTCCATCTCACAGAGATCTGCCTGCCTGTACCTCCCTAGTGCTGGGATTAAAGGCGTGTGCCACCAAGCCCAGCTAATATATATATATTTGTCTTTTTGAGACAGGGTCTCCCTGTAGTCCCAGCTGACCTAAACTCACTATGTAGACCATGCTGGCCTTGAACTCACAAGGATCTGCCTGCCTCTGCTTCCCGAGTGCTGGGATTAAAGGTGTGTGCCACCACGCCCAGCTCTAATATGTTTTTTAATCCTCCAAAAAAGGCTCATTCCACATAAATCATCTCTAATACTTAACTTTCCAGTTCATTGCTTTAGATATTCTAACTTAATGAGTATGGACACTAAATCAGCATTTATATGTTAAAAGTGTGTATATTTTACAATGTGAATACCACATTCATGATACGCTCATAGGTGCATCTGTTCATTCAGAAAACAGTGAGTGAATGTTAGCTGCTGTAGTGTACACTGGGAATCACAGGTGACTCAGACCCTAAGCCAGGAGACACATTTAGTTTATCACAGAAATGGTTGGCCTGGCCCAGGTTATAAGTTATTACAAGTTTCCTTATGGACTTTTCACTTGTGGAAAAGAAAACCTCAAGCATTTGATAACTGCACAACCACACAAAGTATTTGAAGATCCATGGTGATATAATGGTAAGTGCATAAACTTTGGTCTCAGAATTGATTACTACTTCTGTCTCAAAACATCTCTTTGAACATGACAGTTTTTAATGTATTTGAATCACACTTAAGGTCTCTATAAAAGGGTGATGCATTCCTTTTACCATTCCTTACAATGTTAAAACCAAATATCTGCCAAGTGAATATCCTTGATATTTGGGGGGCATATTTATTTTAGGCGTGTAGTGAGTGCTTTTTTTTTTTTTTTACATTTTCATTCTCCTATCACAATTACAGAATCATTTATGTGAAACACTATCATTTTGTGCAATGGTATGGATGAGTAATCTTGTTCACATTACATGAAATTTCCCTTGACTTGTTAGCATAACAGTTATATACTATCTTAATTTCTGTGGAGCAGGTTAATTATATATGTCACTTGCTCCAAATGAAGGCTTCCTTAGTTGGTCACAAGCTATTGCTAGACCTTAGCCATGGACCAGCTTATTGGGCTGAGAAATAGTTCAAAAGACCTTTGAAAAATACTCTGTGGAGCTCTTCACAATGAAGTGGTTCACTGAAGTTAGGGAATATGGCCTTTATGGAGTCAGTCTTCAGAAAGATAGGAAAGTATGCCCAAAGTTCAACCATACCTCATAGTTCATTAGAATGGGTAAGGGTTCTGCAACAATGACTCAGAATTTAGAAGCCATAAGAGAAATGGCTGATAAATCCAAGTTAGAAGAGTCTGCTGGGCAAGAAAGTATAGGTTATATCAAAAGACATTAAACTGGAATAATATTTTGCTTATTGCACAAAAAACTAATCTCTAAATCCAATAGTACATAAACCCATGACCAAATAGAAAAAAAAAGTGAATAAAATGTATGATAGGCTGATGACAGGTGTCAAGCATTTAAAAAATATCCTTTATCACCATAAGAGATACAAATTGAGAGTTCAGACTGGGCTAAATTTGACCAATAAGCTGTTATGAGGTTGTCTAACCAGAGAAAACCATTCAGACACAGAAAATTGTCAAAAGAAAGTCTTTATAGCATGGCTGATGACTACACTGGGCCTTTGGATCTGAAGTGCAGCCCTGAGCCATTCTTAGGGCAAGCATTTATGTGGAATAACTACATCGAGTGTGAAAAGCTTAAGTTCCCAAGCTTAGAGGTAGCCCCCACCCCCAACAATTTTTACTCTGCAAGAGAGAGTACAAGCAAGAACCAAGAGCCAAGCAAAGTACAGAAGTCATAAATCTATTAGCAGGAGCGACCAGGTGCATACCGACCTGTTCTCAAACCCATACCTTGGTACAAACTTCTATTCCCACATTTGAGTTAACTGCCTCTAGCTTTAACTTATGGATTTAGCTGGGGCTTGCTTGTAACATGGTGTAGCTATGGTCAGTCTTGAGGTGTCCCACCACAAAGCTCTTAAAAGAGTGGTCTCGGACTCTGCCAGCCGCGCTCACCCTTCCATCTCCCCCGCTGTTCTCTACTCCTAGCTTGGGCCCTGTGCCATTCCTAGCCTTGGGGCCCCAGACACCTGGGGAGCCACTGCTGATTCCTGACCCTGTTCACCCCCACCGGCTTGGTGCCTTCCTTGGGCCCCAGGAGCACTGCCTCCGGACCCAGCCCTGCCCTCACCTCTCTCTGCTCCCCCGGACCTGCACCACCCGCTAACTCTCCTGGCCTTCTACCCTATCCTCAGGCCTCTCCTGGTGGGTCCATCGTGGAGCCTTCCGCGCATTGACTCCCCCGGCCTCATTCACCCTTCCATCTCCACCGCTGTTCTCTGCTCCTGGTTTGCGCCCTGCGCCATTCCTGGTCTTGTGTGGAGAGCCACAGCCTCCGCCGCCATTACAAGATGGCGCCGGTATCCGGACCTTCTTAACAGTAAACATCCTGCTGCACCCATAAGGGGCGTGCACAAGAGCCTGCTCTCCCTCGCCTCCTCCCGTGGCGTGATCTCCAGCAACCAATCCGCTTCTTATACGTCATAGATGGGACCTTTAGACTATATAAGCAACCGCTCTCCCGCTTCTCGGCGTCTTCGGTCTTTAAGCTTCTAAGAGTGTAAGATGCGCATACAATAAACTGCTGCAGAAGGATCCTGACTTGTCCTCCCGCGTCGTTCTTGCCGGCGAGACGGAAAGCGGTCGGGGACAGAGGGTATCTAAACTGGATGGGGGGAAGTAAAATTATACAAGGAACTATGGGGTAAAGGGGAAGAAGGAGGTCAAGAGAGGGCAGGCCCATAGGAGAAAGCTTTTATCAAGGGCCAAATGGGGTACTTTAACTGGGAAGGAAGAAGTGTACATCTGAAGGCTATATGACCAGAAACAATGCCTGACATACCTCCCTTTGAGTTGTTGGCCAGGGTAGTCCAAGAGCCTCCCAAAATTACACAGCCTATTGCCATAGCTTTTAATTGCCTCAAAGATCTTGACTTTAAGACCCTATTGCTGAAGACAGGACATACTTTGGGTACAAGACTTGGAGCAATGGAACTGAAACTGACCTGGAAGCCAGCTCCCTGAAGGCTAGCTCTCATAGTTTTGGAGACCACTGTGCAAGCTGCTAAGGGAGAACATCAATCGATGGTCCACCCAGTTTTAAGACCTAATAACCAAAACCATGACAGGCACAGCAAACTACATTGGGGCAGTAGTGGCACTTTTATCTTGGGAGTAACCAACAACTGTCTAATTGTTCTCAGTAGGAGAAAATTCATGCTTGGGACAGACTCATGACATGGTCGAAGTTCACAGTTTGGGAGAAGGTGCAATGTGCCCCTCAGCATTTTCTCACAGTGATGCGTTCCTCGGAGGAAAGAATGTAGCCCATCTTGTCTCTGTCCACATGGCATTGACCTCAGCGATGTCTGCCTACATATTACAGAGGGAACGAGACATTTGATTTCAAGAGCATAACTAGAGCCATAGGGCCTTTTGAAAAGGAAGAATCCAGGGCCATGTGGAGGAAGAATCTCGGTTTCTTCTTGATTCAGAAGAGATGGATTTTGAGACTTATAGGGAAATTGGGTAAGAGTATTTTATCTTCTGTGCTC